CCATGGCTGAATCACGGGGTTGGCCTTGAGCTTGGGCTTCTCCACTGCCACCAGCAACTCTGCCACCCCTTTCCTCAGGTCCATCCATTGTCGAAACTGCTCCAAGGGGCTCTGATACCACTTGTTATAGTCACAATAGCCTTGAATGTGCCTAAAACGAAAGATAGAGTGCACAGACGGATTTCTGCACAGCGGCTTCAAACGTTGATAGCGTTCTGCTCACAGATGCAAATGACTTGATTCAAATTGGATCTGGAGCGTCTTGACGTCGCCTACAATACGCAATTTAGATTGCACGATTTGATAAAGAATTGACGACACAGCGTCGGTTTGAACGAACGGTACTATGGCAGCCACTATAGTCTTAGAACACAAGATAGGAAGAGTTACGAGTTGGGAATGACTCCCAGCTCCTACAAACCCCAAGAGCCGAGGTACAGTGATGTGGAACAGTGCCACACTGTCCCCAACCACGAAGGGTCTCGAAACTACCCTCCACAAGGGCCTACACCAAGAGAAATGTTACACTACACAAAGTAATGCAACTATTCTCACTATCTTAAAGTTTACCCTTTTGGAGAGCTTCGAAATAACTTGAATCTTGAAACCAAGGCTCTGGTTCTTCAAGGTAAATTCTTCCTTGAGTTCTTGGAAGTCTGCTGCGCACACCTGCGACACGCCGAACGTTCCACACACGATAAAATAGAAAACCGCACACGACACGCAAACGACGACGTGACACGCGACTAGCGATAACTCGCTATTGACTCGACGCACACATTCAAAATCATGCTTCATCATACACACACTATTGTAAACATGAAATATATATTATTTCATGCCCTCATACCATTCCATGCACACACGCATGCACGCACACGGACAACAAGCCGAATGCAAACCGTAGGGTTGCACCAACAAACTCCCCCTCAGATTGTTGGCCTTAGGATCTTGCTCTCTCAGTTCAGAGCCATCCCAGCCAGCTTGCAACACTTCCAATGCTGCTGCTCCACCAGCCTCTTGGTCATCATGTCAGCTGGCTGCCTTGTCGTCTTCACATAGTGCAACTCAACTTCACCCGCGGCCACCATGCTCCTCGTCCAATGCCACTTCACCCTCATGTGCTTGGTGAGGCCATGCAACACAGGGTTCTTAGCAAGAGCAATGGCACCCTGGCTGTCACAGTAGAGTGGGGTAGGTCCTTGCTGCTCCTCCCCCAATTCAGCCAACAAATGCCGCTGCCACACAATCTCTCGTACGGCACGGAAGAGTGCCATATACTCGGACTCCACCGAGCTCAATGCTTGATCCACCTGCTTCTTGCTCTCCCAAGCAGTTGGGCCTCCACCAACACAGCAAATGAACCCTCCAACACTTGTCATGTCCTCTGGTTCTGATGCAAAAGAAGCATCCGAGAATGCGGTGAGGAACAAACGCCCGGGTTCAACACCATCCGCGCCCTTTTGGCGCCTTTGCGCCGCCGCCGAATATTGCAGCCCAACGGTCGGTGTTTGGCCAAGATACTTGGCCACTCTCATTCCAGCTGCTACCTGCTCCTCATTAGGGCATTGAACAACCCTAGCCAACTGTCCGGTAGCAAACGCGACGTCCGGTCGGGTGTTTACCGCCGCGTACATGAGGCTGCCCACCAACGAGTGAAAACGGCGCCTCTCCTCTTCACCAACGCTCTCCTCCTCTGGTCCCTTCACACACTTGAAGCGAACAGTGGCGTCGGCATCAGCAGCAGGGGCAGGAGAGGCACCAGAGGTGAGGTCAAAGAGGGAGAAACCGTCTGCCCTATCGCACTGTAGGAAAAGCTGCAGGTCATCTACCCAGATGTCAAAGTCAATGGCCCGACCCTCAGCGTCAAAAGCGAGGACACTAGGGGTAGCCATGACAGCAGTAGACTAGCAGCGCGAACAGTAGAGTAAGGGCAGTGCAGTGACAGAGGCGCTGCTCTTACCGGACAGGGCGGCTCGGGCGGCTCGGCGGCTCGACGGGTCGGCAACTCGGCGGCTCGGGCGGCTCGGGCGGCTCGGGCGGCTCGGCGGTACGGTGGCTCGGCAGCAACTGCGGCTCGGCGACTCGGCGACTCGGCGGCTCGGGCGGCTCAGGTGGCGCGGCGGCTCGGGCGGCTCTGGTGGATCGGGCGGCTCGGCAGTAGCTCGGCGGCGCCGGCGGCTCAGTGGTGACGGCGGGGCCGCGTGGGGACGGCGGCGGGGTCGGGTGGAGCGGCGGCGAGGCCGGGTGGAGCGGCGTCGGGGCCGGGTGAGGCGGCGCCGGGGCCGGGAAGGGTAGCTCCGGGGCCGCAGGGGTAGGCGACGGGGCCAGCAGAGGCGGCGCCGAGGCAGGGAAGGGCGGAGCCGGGGCTGCAGGGGTAGGCGACGGGGCCGCGAGGGCGGCTAGGAGGGGGGGGGTCGCGAGGGCGGCTTGAAGAGGCCGCGAGGGCGGCTAGAAAGGGCCGCGAGGGCGGCTAGAAAGGGCCGCGAGGGCGGCGTGAAAGGGCCGCGAGGGCGGCGCGACACGAAGGAGCCGCGAGGGCGGCGGATCGGGGCCGCGAGGGCGGCGCGACGCGGCCGCTAGGGCGGCGCGACGTGAAGGGGCCGCGAGGGCGACGCGACGGGGCCGCTAAGGCGGCGCGACAGGGTCGAGAGAGGGGAGCGCGACTCGGGCAGTGGAGAGCGCGCTCCGGGCAGGAAAAAAAATGTGGTGGGCCCTAGGAACAGTTCCCACAGGGGAACCTGCTCGATACCATGAGAAACTGAACGAGAATGAATTGAGTAAGAGAAAGTTGGGTACAAATGTAAACCCTAGAAAACTGTACCCCATATATGCTACCCCACAATAGCCTACAGTAGCTATGTCATATAAATCTGACAATTTTTCCGCCGGCCTATCACATAGGGGAAGACCCTGAAACTCAACCCAAACCAACAAGGTCAACACGACTAGGGCCCTGTTCTGTTGCCCACCGGCAAATGGAGGGCGGACAGCACAGCACAGCACCAGCTATGCGATTGAATGCTTCCACGCAACCTGGAGCCCCAGGGATGGCGCAGAACATGTCCTTGCCTCCCTCCGTGCACCTTCAGGGCAAAGCTTGCTTTTTCCTTTGCAGACTGTTGAACCTCCTCTCGCGAGCAACCATTGGATAGTGGTACGGCCTGACAATAAAAGGGCCAACCAGGACGAAGAGCAAAAAAAAAATCTGCCTGGAACTACTTGTGCTATCCCTGGGCCCCCTCTCCGAGTCGGAACCAGGGTAGCTCTCGCTCGCAGTTTGCCTGGCATGAGGGGATAGCACAGCACCATTGGTTGGCTGTTCTTTTGCGTTTGTTGGGCCGCACAGCACAGCACAGCACTTGCCAGGTTCGGGATGGAGTTCACAATCCCGAGCCTGTTTTAAGAATTATGCCCTCAAAACAGAAACGCTGAGGATCACCGATAGAAGCCCTTACGAAGCATCATCTAGTGCTGTGCGGATGGGTCCGCACAAGTAGTGCGGCAAAAGAAAGGGCCTAAGCAGATGCGGATAGGTCGCGAAATTCGAACACTCACGAAACCAATTTCCAGAAGTGTGTCGCGAATTTCCATAACTTGACCGGAACGTACCAAGCACCCAGGGCTTTGTATTAAAATACTAGCGTGAGTTTGGCTTGAGAGCCATAGTTTAGGAGCCTTGGTAGTTAAGTTCGAGGGTGAGGAGAGTGTCGAGAAAGTTGTGGAAGGAGAATGAGGGTTTCACTATAGGTTCAAGGGTACAAATATGAAAGAAGTGAAGCAAGGTGCACCACCTAACAAGCAAGGTAACTACACTAAGTCTACATTGCAGGCAGTTATAAAGTGATGTATACAATAACATTCTGACACTTTGAGCAGGGTTCTTGAATATGAGTGTTGAGAAACCACGTACCCAAACTAGTATACCGTCATACCCCGAATATACCCCAGGCCTATGTTACACCCATGCGCTTATAATCGTACCACTGGGCTTATAGCCTGGTGCCGATTATAAGCCCACCCTAAATTTGGAGCATCTTCGTATAAGCACACCCAATGATCTTTTACTAAAATCTGCATTTTTTTCTAGTGAATTCGCCACTAACGCGCCAGCAACAATCATAATTTTTGAAGTGCCATTTATTTAGCCCATGGGGTTATAAATTTTACCACACTATAAGCCCACCCACCATTTTTTGAGGTTTTTTTATACTCCCACCTGGGGGTATATCTGGGGCATGACGGTATCTAAGTATAACGAGCGAAACTAAGATTGAAAGGCTCGGAAAGTCTTACAGCGAATTACGGTATGGGTTTGGTTTCGAAGTTTGAATTCGCCACCAGCTTTACCATGAAGCCACTTTCTGCATCGACTCTAGTGGAGCCTGCTGGGATACACGAGCACCATGATCTTGGCATGGAGAACCACACTACGCCATGCAAATAGGTTTGAGCTCATGAGCTGATAATATTGAAACTCATGGATTCCGAAGAGAGTAACGACTGGTAGGTCGCTACTCACTCCAAATTGTGTAAATAAACGGGCGGAAAGGCGGAAGTAGTTAGTAGCAAGTCCAGAGCTCGTTTAGTGTAAGAAGCGTTCGTCGCTCGTGCTTCGCTGTCGTTTCGACATTGCTTTCACAGTGTCTGCGAGGGTGCGCAGCTGGGTCGTGCTCAAAGGCCGACTGAATTGACTTCGCGGATAGCCTTGCTAGCTCAGCGGCATGGAGAGAACACCGATCAAGGGACCTCTGCGGTCACACATGAAAGAGAAGGTCCGTTTATTGTCGTCCGTCTTTCGCTATTATCCATTTTCGAGCCAGCATTGTTTTTTTCTTTCATTCTTTCTTTTTCATCTTAATTCTCTTCCCCCGCGGATTCGCTTCACGTATGCCGCGCGAGCTGTCCCGCACCATTCAGACATTGCTCAGCCAATTATCGCGCGTTCTTGCCCACTGGGCACATCGTTTTTTTTTTTGTTCTTAAAATTTTCAGAAGCGATGCGATCCTCTCCTCTGCGCACTGACCCTATCAACCACCTACCGTGCCACCCCTCATCTTCGCCCATCTACCGTGCCACCCCTCATCTCCGCCCATCTACCGTGCCGCCCCTCATCTCCGCCCACCTACCGTGCCACACCTCATCTCCGCCCATCTTTTCTCACTCCCCTTCACTCACCCCACTTCCCCGGGCCACCCCCGCAGCTGCGCGTCATGTGTCTTCACCGCGTGCGGGCCAATCGCGACCGTCTGCTCTGGGACATGCGCGCGTCTGCTCCCCCCTCCGCCTCCGCGCACGCGCCCCTCGCTTCACATTCCGCAATCCACTCCCCGCTGTCCCGGAGCTCCCTCTCGCTCTCCAAACCACTATTGCTCTCCTCAACCTCCTCCTCGCATTCTCACTCCCTCTCTCACTCCCTCTCTCACTCCCACTCGCCCTCGTCGCTCTCCCAGCCAACCGTCTCCTCCATCCCCTCGCCCTCTTCCCTCGCCGCCCTCCACCCTCTCCTCTCCGGCCACTCGCACCCAGCCACGTCAGCAGCACTCGCGTGTCTGGGCGCAGAGCAGCGAGAGGAGACGGCTCGAGGGGGATCGTGCTGGCAGGGGGGCGCGCGAGTGGGCAGCGAGGGCGGTGAGCGCGACGGGGAGGGTGAGCGTGATGGGGGCGCGCGGGGGGACGATCGGATGGAAGGCGTGGCGATGGGGGAGCGCGGGGAGGGGGAGGGCGCGGAGGAGTGTGGGAGAGCGGTGGCAGGGGCGGCAGGCTATGGCAGCGTTTCTGCTGAGCGGGATGAGGGGTCGAGCGGGGCGCGGTTGGAGTTGGCGCACGGCATGGGCGCGGAGGGGCGAGGGGCGCGGCCAGAGCTGCGGAGAGTGCTGTTTGGGGAGCTGCAGCGGCTGCGGAACGGATGCGATGATGTCAGCAGTGATGGTGGTGGTGGTGGCATGGGGCCCGGCAGAGCGCTGGAGCAGGAAATGGAGTTGCGTAATGCGATGGCAGGGAGGGGCGAGCACAAAGTGCGGGCGTGGGAGCATGAATGGTCCTCGTGTGACCCGATGCACGGTGGGGGCGACGAGGCACGGGAGATGGGAGGCGGGGCGAGGGGGCGAGGCGAGTGGGACAGCGATGAGGAGGCAGCAGGGCGGTGGGGGGATGCGGACGGGGTGTTGCAGCTGAGTGCAGAGGAGTACGAGGCACTGCTGCTGGACATGCAGAGAGCGCTCTATGAGGAGGAGGATGGGCACTTGGAGACACCAGTGCCGTCAGGTATGTGGTGGTGCGTGTTGACTTGGTGTGCTGCTGCTGGCCACGCGGAGAGCGTTGTATGAGGATGGTGATGGGGATGATAATGGGGATGATGATGGGGATGTGTGAGCTGATGTGTGAGCTGATGTGTGAGCTGATGTGTGAGCTGATGTGTGGGCACGTGTCGTGTGGGCACGTGGCGTGTGGGCACGTGGCGTGTGGGCACGTGCTTTGGTCTGGACCAGACAGGAGTAAGGTCTGTGGCATTGCCATGGGATGCGTGTGTGAACATCGTGTGTGCAGCAGATGGATGCTATCGCTGGAATGGGATGGGTGAAGGCCTCTCGTCTATGCACGGGTGCTGCATGTGTGTTTGTACGGCATGACGGGCATGCTCTGTGGGGGCGCACCGCACAGGCATTGTAATGCATCTTAGCGAGTGTAAGGTGTGTCTGGGCTGCGAGGGTGAGAGTGGCAATCACCCAAGTCTCACTCCTTATCTCGCCTCCCTCCTCTCCACTCTCTCACCCATTTCTTCGCCACTCTCACTCATCTGCCCGCCACTCCCACCCATGTGAGCATCAGGCCATCGGAGCATGGAGGAGGAGGAGGCGTACCAGCAGGGCATGGAGGATGAAGAGATCATGGCCGCGCTCGCTTATCAGCAGGTACTCGCTTCGCTTATCAACAGATACGCCCGCTTATCAGCTGGTACTCACGCTTATCAGCAGGTACACGCTTCGCTTATCAGCAGATACTCTCGCTTATCAGCAGGTACATGCCTCACTTATCAAAAAATACACCCGCTTATCAGCTGGTACTCTCGCTTATCAGCAGGTACTCTCGCTTATCAGCAGGTACTCTTGCTTATCAGCAGGTACTCTCGCTTATCAGCAGGTGCTCTCACTGATCAACAGGTGCTCTCGCTTATCAGCAGGTCCTCTCGCTTATCAGCAGGTCCTCTCGCTTATCAGCAGGTGCTCTCGCTTATCAGCAGGTGCTCTCGCTTATCAGCAGGTGCTCTCGCTTATCAGCAGGTGCTCTCGCTTATCAGCAGGTGCTCTCGCTTATCAGCAGGTGCTCTCGCTTATCAGCAGGTTCTCTCGCTTATCAGCAGGTGCTCTCGCTTATCAGCAGGTGCTCTCGCTTATCAGCAGGTGCTCTCGCTTATCAGCAGGTGCTCTCGCTTATCAGCAGGTGCTCTCGCTTATCAGCAGGTGCTCTCGCTTATCAGCAGGTGCTCTCCCTTATCAGCAGGTGCTCTCGCTTATCAGCAGGTGCTCTCGCTTATCAGCAGGTGCTCTCGCTTACCAGCAGGTGCTCTCGCTTATCAGCAGGTGCTCTCGCTTATCAGCAGGTGCTCTCGCTTATCAGCAGGTGCTCTCGCTTATCAGCAGGTGCTCTCGCTTATCAGCAGGTGCTCTCACTTATCAGCAGGTGCTCTCGCTTATCAGCAGGTGCTCTCGCTTACCAGCAGGTGCTCTCGCTTATCAGCAGGTGCTCTCGCTTATCAGCAGGTGCTCTCGCTTATCAGCAGGTGCTCTCGCTTATCAGCAGGTGCTCTCGCTTATCAGCAGGTGCTCTCGCTTATCAGCAGGTGCTCTCGCTTATCAGCAGGTGCTCTCGCTTATCAGCAGGTGCTCTCGCTCTACACACTGGCCCGCAGCCCGGTATGGCTGTGCCTCTCTGCTGCCATGAGTTTTCTTGCTGCCATGAGTTTTCTCGCTGCCATGAGTTTTCTCGCTGCCATGAGTTTTCTTGCTGCCATGAGTTTTCTTGCTGCCATGAGTTTTCTTGCTGCCATGAGTTTTCTTGCTACCATGACTTTTCTCGCTGCCATGAGTTTTCTTGCTGCCATGAGTTTCTTGCTGCCATGAGTTTTCTTGCTACCATGCCTTTTCTTGCTACCATGAGTTTTCTCGCTGCCATGAGTTTTCTTGCTGCCATGAGTTTTCTTGCTGCGATGCACTTTCTCTGCTGTCGTTAGGCGTGCCATGGAACACCGAGGATGCTTTCTCTGTCGCTGTGCCACAACATTCTTTCTGTCACGCCCTCGTCGCCGCCCCTCCTCTCACCCGCTTCAAGGCTGTCTTCTTCCAGGTCTTACCTTCCTTATTTATGTGCTCGTGCATCTCTCTGCATTGCCGCTGTGTTTGCAGGAGGCAATGGTGATCTGCCCGCTGTGCAAGGCCCGTCCGCTGCACATGCACGGCGCCACCATTGAGTGCTCCTGTGGCCATTTCTCCCTCCACACACACCACGACCACGTATGCTGCTGCTTCTCTGTGCTGCTCTGTCATTCGCATGTTTCCTCCCTTCTCTAACGTTCCTCCCATCTGCGCCTTCCCACCCTTTTGCACCGCTCTTCCATTTTCATGCTCTCCTCCTTTTTGTCAACCTCATTGCCTGATCTGTCACACTCACACCCTCAGCGTGCTATTGCCAACACTCACTTCTCCTTTGACTGCTCGACAAAGCATTCTATCACAGGAGCAGTTGCAGTAAGGCGCATAGCAGCATGTGCCCTTACATGTGCGTGCCACCTCTCTCATTCACTGCCAGCAATGACCCCCGTTCCCTCTGCCCACTTTTTGAAGTGGTTACAGTAGGGGGGGGACATGGCAGCATGTGCAACCAAATGTGCCAGCCGCCTCTGTCACTCCTGCATGTCCCACTGCCCACACCCCGCTGTGCAGGTGACTCTGGAGCCTGGCAGCGCGGCTGCAGGAGGTGCCATTCATTGCCAGCAATTACCCCTGCTCCCTCTCCCCACACCCATGCCCTCATACCTGCCCACGCCCCGCTGTGCAGGTGACTTTGGAGCATCTGGCAGCGCGGCTGCAGGAGGTGACGTGGCAGCATGCTGTGGGCTGCCCTGCGCTGCCCTCCTTCACACTCCACAGGAGCCATGGCGTCACAGCCCTTCTTGCACACTGCCATGCATGCCCCTTATTTGAAATAGTGCTATAGCTTGACGCAGCGATGCATGTGCTATGTGCAACGGTGGAGTGCATTGGCACACCATTTCTAGTATATTCTCTTAGGCTGATCCCCCCTCCTTCACACTTCACAGGAGCCACGGTGTCACGGCCCTCCTCTCTCACTGCTCTGCATCCCCTTCTTTGAAATAGTCCTGTAGCTTCATATGGCGATACTAGGTACATGAAGGGGAAGTGTTATGTGTGTGATGGCAGGTGGGACCCTCACCTTATCCTGAATCGGCAAAAAGTGATCTACCGGACTCCCGCCCTCTGTGCCTGCTCTTTTTAGTCTCCCACTGAGCCCACCTCTTCTTCTCACTCTCCCCCCAGCCCATCACTTTCTCCCGGTTCTCCTCGTCTCGCCCCTCTCCCCAGCCCACCTGCCTCTCTCGCCCCTTTCCCAACCCACCTGGTTATCTCCACTCCATCAACGTTTCACTTCGTACCAATGCTGAGTTCTCAGTGCTCTTTTCTTAGGTGACGCTGGTTATCAGAATCATTCTTCTGTACCAAGGCTGGTGGATCGGCTTGGTCCAAAACGAATTTAGGGGCTGGAGTTAGAGCTTGAAGCAGCAGGTTGAAGGAAGATGGGAGGTATGGGTTGACGCGAGGGGAACCTCTGACAGACGAATAAGGGTAAAAGAATGGCAGGGTGGAAGGGTGGACGGGTTGAACCGGTATGAAGGGAGGAAGAGAGGAAGAGGAAGAGAGAGTATGGAAAGAGGAAGGCATGAATGGCTCATGATAGAGGATGAGAGCACGGGAGGATGAGAGCATGTGAGGATGAGAGCATGTGAGGATGAGAGTATGGGAGGATGAGAGTATGTGCGGATGAGATATGCGAGGATGAGAGCATGTGAGGATGAGAGTATGTGAGGATGAGAGCATGTGAGGATGAGAGCATGTGAGGATGAGAGTGAGGATGAGAGCAGGTGAGGATGAGAGGAGGTGAGGATGAGAGTATGTGAGAATGAGAGTATGTGAGGATGAGAGTATGTGAGGCTGGGGGAACAGTAGGAGGGAGAATGAGTGGGGAAGGAGGCTGCAGGGAAGGGAGGGAGGCACGGATGCAAAGGGGAAAGGAGGAAGGGAGATGTCAGATGGCATATCTATACAAGACTTTAGCTATGATAGGCTGTAATGGGGCACTCCTTAGAGAGTACCTCTCGACCATCTCATCAATGCATCCTTCCTCTCTACTCTTTCAGCCATAGCTACTAGTTAGTCCTTATCTTAGCATGGTATTCAAGCAGGTCCCGCTGTAGGACCTTTTTTTTTTATTTTTTGGGCCGACCATTCATCTCTTTCCTGCCCGTTCGTTCTGCCCCGTCCTACCTAAATCGCAACCGGCAGCCTGCTAGCGCCGCCCTGCCTAGCGCATCCGCCCTGCCCTTCCCTATACGCGCCCTGCTAGCACCGCCTGCACGCACGCTCGTGCCCCGTTCGCGCCGCCCGCACGTGCGCTGCCTGCGCCCTACGCGCGCTCGTCCCGCACGCGGCCTGTGCTGCCCGCGCGCTGGCTGCGCAGCCTGCGCGCTGCCCAAAACTGCCCGCGCCGTGCCTTCGCGCGGTTTGCACGGCTCGCACACTGCCCTGCGCGCGCTGCCCGCGCCCTGTGCAGCCCTGCCCTCGCCCTGTGAAGCCATGCCCGCGCCCTGCGCGCGCCCTGCTCGCGCCCTGAGCAGCCCTGCGCCCTACGCAGCCCTGCCCACGCCCTGCCACCTGCGCGTGCCCTGCCTGTGCTGCAGCTGCTACTTAGAAACTGCTGCTGCCCGTGCCGTGCCGCCCTACCCTGCCTAAGTCGCGCTGCCCTGCCAAGCCGTGCCGCCCTGCCCGAGCCGCGCCGCCCTGCCCGAGCCGCGCCGCCCTGCTGAGTCGCTCTACTTAGCCGCCTAGCCGAGTTGCCTTTGCTGCCGCTCCTCCGACTGCTTCTGCTGCTACTGCTACTGCTACTGCTCCTGCTACTGCCGCTACTGCCTACCATGGCTACCATTACAGTCCTTACATTCGACGCAGAAGGTCGCCCGATTAAGTTTGACATCTGGCTCGAGGATCTTCAACTTTACCTGCAGAGCGAATCTAGGGATAATGTCTCACCGTTCGAGCATACGTCCAGGTCCTTACCCGCTCCAGAGGACTCAGTTGGCCGTATAGCTCATTTTCAGTGCTTTACGCGTGATGCTACCGCTCCCCTTGCTGTCCTCAACCACCTCCCGCTAGACGAAAGGACCCATTCTGACCAACTTAAGACCGCCAAAGAGCTCTATGACGCTGCAGCCAGACTCCCGAGCGTCGTAAGCCTGCGTCTTGTCCTGCCTCGCCTGTTCGCACTGTTCGTCGTGCTCGTCGTATTCCTCGTCCTCGTCCTCGTCCTCGTCCTCGTCCTCCACCAGTCCCCGGCACTCACACTATGACACTTCGTCCTTCCTCTGTTCCACAAGGTATTTCTATACCGTCTCCTCCTGAGTCCTCCCTTCCTGACGTTCCTAACCCTGACTCTGAACTTGCTCGTGCAGTTAGTCCTACTGCCACGCGTGTTCTAGCTACAATTGTCACTGACCCTACTTTTGAGTATGTTGCTGCGTCTGCCTTAGTCACTGAGCTTATTGACTTTGCTGAGCGTGTCGTCTCGACTACTTTGCGAATCTTGTCACTGAGTCTGAGTCTGACTGTCTTCCGTCCGTCGGGGGTGACTGTGCCCTTGGTACAGACGTCCTTGAGGACAGGAAGTTTGAGCTCGAGCGTCTTGTGACTGCTGTACCTCATCTCGCTGCCATGCTACTTACCCCTGAAGGAGATCCGGATGCACTAGACATCCCGGATCCTTACTCAGAGCCGATCACGGATCCATACTCCTCTTAGTGGCAGATAGCCATGGACGCAGAGATGACTTCCTGGAAGTCCACAGGCACCTACGTCGATGCAGTTTCCCCACCCGGGGCGAACATAGTCGATGACATGTAGATTTTCAGGGTGAAGCGGCCGCCGGGTTCTCCGCCTGTCTTCAATGTGCTTTACGTTGCATGAGGCTTCAGTCAGCGACAGGGGGTCGACTTCTTCCAGACCTTCTCCCCCACCCCGAAGGTGACCACTCTTCGGATGTTACTGCACATTGCAACACAGCGTGACTACGAGCTCCACTCGCTTGACTTCAGCACAGCTTTCTTACGGGGCAGCCTACACAAGGAGATTTGGCTACGCCGCCCACCTAGCTTCACTAGGTCGTTTCCTGAAGGTACCCACTAGAGCCTCCGGCAGCTAGTCTACGATCTCCGCCAGGCGCCTTGCTAGTGGCACGACACACCAATGACGACGCTTGCAGCTCTTGGCTTTGGAATTTCAACTGCTGACATTCGTTGTTTCTACGCACCAACACTTTTCTGCCACCACTCTACATCCTCGTGTACATCGACGACTTGGTCTTTGCTACTGTTGGCACTGAGGTAATGGCCTCTGTCGCCTGACTAGTCGCAGCCACAATTCCAGCCAGACCCCCCACTGCCTGCTCCTTCTCCTCACACTGAGCAGACAGACTCTCTTACAGAGTGTCGTGAGCCTGCGTCTTGTCCTGCCTCGCCTCTTTGCGCTGTTCGCACTGGTCGTCGTGTTCACCGCCAGCGTCCTCCTCCTATCCTCGGCACCACACTATGGCACTTCGTCCTTCCTCTGTTGCACTGCGATTTCCCCTGCCGTCTCCTCTGGAGTCATCTCTTCCTGACGTTCTGGACCCTGAGTCTGACTTGGTTTGTGCTGCCAGTCCTTCTGTCTCACGGCTCCTAGCCATTGTTGTCATCGACCCTTCGTTTGAGTCCACAACTACGTCTGCCCTAGTTGCTGAGCTTGTTGAATTTACTGCTGCGTGTTGTCTCGACTACGCCGCTTGTCTTGTTGCTGAGTCTGAGTCCGTCTGTCCCCCAACGGTCGGGGGTGAGTGTGCTCTTGGCACGGACGTCCTTGAGGACAGGCAGGAGGACTTTGAGTGTTTGCAGCTGCTGTACCTCATCTCGTGGCCATGCTGCTTTCACATGAGGGAGATCCGGATGCACTGGACATCCCGACCCCGCGCTCTTACGCAGAGGCGATTACAGGTCCCTACTCCTCTCAGTGGCAGACAGCCATGGACGCAAAGATGGCATCCTGGAAGTCCACATGCACTTACGTTGACGGGGTTCCCCTTCCTGGGGCGAACATTGTCGATGGCATGTGGATTTTTAGGGTGAAGCGGCCGTCGGGTTCTCCGCTTGTCTTCAAGGCTCGTTAAATTGCACTAGGCTTTAGGTAGCGACAGGGAGTTGACTTCTTCTAGACCTTCTCCCCCACCCCGAAGATGACCACTCTTCGGGTGCTGCTGCACGTCGCTGCTCAACGTGACTACGAGCTTCACTCTCTTGACTTCAGCACAGCTTTGTTACAGGGCACTCTGCACGAGGAGATTTGGCTGCGCCGCCCACCTGGCTTCACTGGGTCGTTTCATGCAGGTACCTAATGGAGCCTCCGGCGGCCAGTCCACGGTCTCCACTAGGTGCCTCGCGAGTGGCACGACACACTGAGGACGATGCTTGCGGCTCTTGGGTTTGCTCCTTCGACTGCTGACCCGTCGCTGTTTCTGCGCACCGACACTTCGCTGCTGCCGTTCTACATCCTTGTGTACGTCAACGACTTGGTTTTTGCCACTGCTTTCACTGAGGCACTAGCACTTGTGAAGTCGGAGCTGCAGAAGAGACACACCTGCACTGACATTGGTGAACTGCGTAGCTATCTTGGCTTGCAGATTGCCTGGGACAGAGCACAGCACACCATCACTCTAACTCAGTCACACATGGTGCACCAGGTCCTTCAGCGCTTCGAATTCTCGTGGTCCTCGCCACAGTCCACTCCTCTGCCTATAGACCACTCGTTCTCAGCTCCACCTAAGGACGAGTCCGTAGAGCCGAGTGGTCAGTATCCAGAGCTTGTGGGTTGTCTCTTGTACCTGA